CCACCAGTCACCAGTTAAAGCAATCGTGGGCAAGTTGCTTAACCTCCGAGGGCTTCAGTTTCCTCATCTGCAAAATGGGAGTAATAGTAACAACAAGGGTCATATGTGTGCTTAGTCGTGTCCTACTCTTTGCAACCCCATAGACTGTAGCCCGCCAGCCTCCTCTGTCCATGGAATTCTCCAGGCAAGAATACTGGAGTGAGTTGCCATTTCCTATGCCAGGGGATCTTCCTGACCCAGGGATTGAACCCACGTCTCTTACGTCTCCTGCACTGGCAGGTGGGTTCTTTACTACTAGGCCACCTGGGAAGCCCGTTATGAGGACTAAACGACTCTAACTGTAAATTTCCAAGAACAGTGTCAGGTGCTGTCCATGTGCTTGTTAAATATTCTGGAGTCTGGAGTGGAAATGATAGGGCTTCATGTTAACAACACACTGGGAAGGTGTTCTTTACTTCTAAATCTGTGCACACTCTGTTTCATCTCACTTTGTCACAACCAGTGCTCACTGCCCAGAACACAGTAGGAGTCAAGCATCTGCTAAATGACCAAATGGATGTGAGAGGTAAGCCTTCATACATGAAAATTTAGGAAAAAAATAATGCATGGGTGTTAAGAACCCAGGATGGGGAGTCATGCAGACCCAAATTCTGGTTTCACTACTAACAGGTCATGTGACAATCAGCAAGTGAACCCGCCACCTTATCTATGAACTGGGGTGGATTATCAGCATCCGGCTGGTGGGGTTGTTATGGGAATAAAGAGAGATGATGTATAAATATAAAATGTCCAACATACGCTAGCAGAATTATTCCCCCTGGGGGTGGCTGGTGGAACTGAGGCCTGGCTTGCAGGTGGCTTGAGGGTGGGGTCCCCTCAATGCCATGAAGACATGACAGGCTCAGTGCGAAGTCTTGGCTCCGCTGCATCCAGCTGTGAGACCTCCCCAGGTCTCAGTCTTCTCATCTGTACCACTGGCCTGTAATCCACACCTCTCTAGGAGGCTTGTGGGGTGAATGAAATTGCACATTGAGGCCTCTAAGCTCAGCAGGTGCTCTGCAAATGGCTGGGGTTGTGAGCGTCATTCCTGCCTGGGCGCTCTGACCCTGGAGGCTTGCTGGGTGGAGGCCCACTCTGTCTGCCCCTGCATCTCCTTCTGGCCTTGTGGAGGTGGGTGGGTGACCTGAGTCAGGAAGGCAGGTTCTGGTGGGGAGAGGGGCAGGCAGCAGGAGATGCAGCAGGGAGACCGGGCCACTCTCAGGGACTAAGGGATCCTGTCTGGACTCTTGGGTGCAGGAGGCTGGATGGAGAGAAGCAGACCCTAGAAACACCTAGGTCTGCACCATCCCTGGGGGCTGTGGAGGCCTGAGAGAAGGAGGAGGAGGGGACAGGAGGAGGTGCCTCAGGTTCTGGAGCAATAGGCTAAGGCATTTGCAATTTTATCCTGAAGGTCTTGGGAGCCCCAGAACCTCATTAAGCAGGAGAGTAATGTGGTCAGCAATGCAAGGGTGTAACTGCCTCACACGTAGGACAGACTGGAAGAAACCAGGGGGCAATCATAGCTCCAACTGGCTGTGTGAGGATAGAGCTGGAGGAACTGTGCCAGGCACGGCTGGCACAGCCATCAGAGGTGCTCTGGGAGGATGCCCTCCAACTGGCTGTCCTCCCAGGGCGGCTGCTCCACCTTATTTTCACAGGGTGGCCAGAACCAGTGAAACAGGCCGGGGGTGTAAGGGGGAGCCCTGGGAGAAGAGGCATGGTTTTCCAGGGCCTGGAGTCATCTTAGTCCGCACAAATATCACCAGTCAGAGGAGCTGAAGCTGTGGGGAGGCAGGAACAGGGACACGGAGGCCAGGAGGAGAGGGCCTGGCCACAGGAGAGGGAGGGGCACAGCTCTGGGGTCTCAGCAGGGCCTGGGAAGCAGGCACCCCCATCCCCAGGCCTCTGCCTGGACTTGCTGGGACAGTCAGGCCAGGTATGTGACCTGGGTCTCTGTTTCCTTGCCTTCTGTCCAGTTACACATTTCAGAGACAACGGTATTGCAGGAACCCTTGGGTCCCCCTCTCCAGGGTGAGAGGGAAGGGGGTACAGGCGCCCAGGGAAGAAACCAGACTCCGGACAGGCGCTTGGAAATCGCCCAAATGTGGAGGCCGTGGGCGGTGCGCACATGTGTTTGGTATTGTGAGGACATGTCCACGCCCGTACACGCGCGGGCTGCCAGCGCCCAGCCTCAGACCCCTGGGTGTGCGGCCAGGAGGAATGAGGTCAGCCTCGGAGAATCCGCCCTGGACTCCCACACCAGGCCTGGGGGTCTGATCTCAAGCACAAAGCTTGGCCTTCCCTGAGCCTGGATTTTCCACGGTCCCAGCCTAGCAGGGTGGGAAGGGGAACAAATGATGGGGGAGAAGGTACTGCTCCCTCTCTGGCCTCTCTGTGAGCCCTGGTTTAGCCTGCAGCCCCCACTCAGACACCATCCCTCCCCCAGGACTAAGGAAGGGGCACCTGGAGGGTGCTGACAGCTTGCAGCAATACTTGGGCACCTACTCCTCCTAGAAGTCCTCCCTGGTTCCTAGCCCCTGACTGGGGAGGCCCCTCCTCTGGCTCCCTTAAACCACCATCCTCTCCCCACCCGCCCAATCACAGCACTGAGATGCCCCCTCCTCTATGCCTCCCTCAGGGCAGGGCCTGGATTCAGCTTGGCATCTCCTTCAGGAGAGAAATGTCTTTAATCCCAAATGAACACTGGGGCCCAGGGGCAATGGCCAGAGGCCCTCCCTTCTGAGGACCAAGCAGCCCCACTCCAGACACGGCCTTGCCCTGGTCAGTCTCCCTCTGAACCTTAAGAACCCCCTGAACCTCTGAACCCCCCTCTGACGGGCCACAGAAGGGCCTTAGAAAAACACACTGGCTCAGGGCACAGGCAGCGAGTCCAAGGCCTGGCTCTGCCAGTACTGCTGTTTGAGGCCTGGGTTTTCTCCTCCGCCCAGAGGTGGAGCACTTCTGGCTGAGCCCCACTTCATGGTCTTGCATTCTAAGAAAATCCACCACAACAGTTTAGCCTATAGGTAAAACGTGCTCTCCTCCACGGAGCTCTAGCAGGGGCTGATGCAGAGTGGTACCATGCACCACTGCAGGGCTGCTGCGAGTCCTGCTGAGGATCAGATGCAGGTGAGACCACGAAATCCTTCATCACAGCATAGACGGGTCCTCCCTCTAGCTCCTGTCTTGAGCACCTGCAGGTTCTCAAAGTGGCATTCAGCATCCCAAGTTGAAGGCTATGCCTTGAATGTGAGGGAGAGCTGGAGCTAAGTCGCTTTAGTCGTGTCTGACTCTCTGCGACACTATGGACTGTAGCCCACCAGGCTCTCTGTCCATGGGATTCTCCAGGCAAGAACACTGGAGTGGGTTGCCATGCCCTCCTCCAGGGGACCTTCCCGATCCAAGGATTGAACCCGCATCTCTTACGTCTACTGTATTGGCAGTCAAGTTCTTTACCACTAGCACCACCTGGGAAGCCCCTGAATGTGAGGGAGTGAGTACTACCACGGGGACACTTCCCTGCCCTAGCCTTGGGCTCCAGCAGCCCATAGAGAGACAAGATTCCCTACCCTTGCAACCCAGCAGCAGCCTCTCACCCAAGGTCAGTATGGCTGGAGACAAGGATGCATCCCCGTGTGGACAGAGGCAGAGGAACGAAGGCTGGAGGTGCAGCATCTGTGCCCCTGAGCCCCTCAATGCTTAGCCCTCACCTGGTGGGCCTGGCGCAGCCACCCTGGTGTGGAGCAGATAAGCAGGAATAAAGAATCAGGAATGTTAATTGCAACCTGAAAGAGGCAAGGCTGACGTGGAATGCATACACGTTGGGGTCTGAATGGAAAACCTTGACCAAAGCTGACTGTGGACTTGCAGAGACAGAAGCAGGAAAGGGAACTCTAGGACGGCAGAGGTTAGGTCAATGGCTGTTCAGCCCTGGCCAGACCACTCGTGGGCCCTCGCCAAGGTAGCCTGCCTTCCAACAGAGTGTGTGGAGCTGCTCATCTGAAGAAGGCCACCCCTTCCTCTGTGCAGATAGCTTTCCTAAGACTAGGTCATATCTTCAACCTCCCCCCCACTATCCCTGTCCACAACTGCCTCCAGGGACTCTTCCCAGCCTGGGGTGCAAAACTTAAGAGGGCACCTAAAAACTCAGTAACTAAGGGAAGTAATATTTGAGGCAGTGTTTTTAAAATTAAGCAGTACTGCAAAAAAAGAAATCTGATGAAGAAAATATCAAAATTTCAAATAAAGACAGATCACTACTGCTAATTTTCAGTTTTTCACTGGCTTGAATACAGTTTGGCACAGCACCATCACTGATTCTATTTCAAATTTTGATATTTTGTTCATCTTTTTTTGACATGATTTTTGGTCTAAAAATGCACTGAAATATTCTTAAGTCGATTACTTTTTGGAGCCCAGGCCAGTGCCTCACTTGCCTCTCTAGTCCAGGCCTGGCAGTCCCACGAAGGAACCCCGGGTGGTCCAATCTGCTCTCCTGTCAGGCCAGACCCTCTCTTCTAACCTCCTGTTCATTCACGCCAAGCCCACCTATGCCCAGTGACCAGGAACTTGTCACACCTCCAGAGGTGTCCCCGAGGCCTTTCTGACCCGGATGCTCCGTGTTTCACTCTGTGAGGCTGGCAGAGTGGCACCTCCAAGAGGGGAGGGCGTGCCCCAGTGGGAACGAGGGAGAGGTTGGGAGAGGGGCTCCTTTATGTGTCCTCAGATGACCCAAGCGTCTCTTTGCAAAGCCTGTCCACCCCCTCCACTCCCTATCCCCCAAGTCAGAGCCTTGGCCTGCCTGGCCAAGTCCTGGCGCCGATGGGGATGTATGGACGGCGGCGAAGGCCTGGGAAGCACTGGGGCTGTCGATGGGGGCCAGGGTGGGGGTCCTGACCTAGCAGGCGGGGGAGGCCTTCTGTAAAGGATGGACGAGGCCCCGGGCGCCGGGACGGACTCACCTCGACCGTTCTGGTTGGGCCGGTACACGCTGCCCACGCTCAGGCGGCCCTGCTGCGCGCCGTTGCGCTCTGAGCCCGGCGGGGGCGCGTCGGAGCTACGCACCGGCAGGTAGGGAGGCTCCAGCACGCGGAAGGGGGGCTGCGGCTCCACGGCCCGCGGCGGGCTGTAGGCCTCGGGCGGCATGTTGCCGTAGGGTGGGTACCAGCCGAGGCGGGGGTCGCCGCCGTACGTGCCGCCCCCGCCACCCCCGTTGGGCTGCGCGGCGTCGGGGCCGGGGTCGGGGTAGGCCGGCTCGAGGCCCGCGGTGCCCTCGTGGTACAGGCTGTGCGAGTAGCGCCGGTCCAGGCCGTCGGCGGGCTGAGGCGCGTACGGCCTCTCCGGGGCGGCCGGATAGAAGCCCTGCGGCGGGTACTCGGGCTGCTCCTCGCCGCCGCCACCTCCGTACTCCTCGTAGCGCGCCCGCGGCTGGAAGGGGTAGACGACCCCCGCCGAGGCCACGGCCGCCGCGCCCAGGCCGCCGCCCGCGCTGCGGTAGTACACGTAGCCCTGGTCGTAGGTCCGCGTCGCGGGATCGTACGTTTCGTACTGGCTGACGAAGGGCGCCTGCGGGTAGGGGAACTGCTGCTGCGGGAAGGAGGACGGCTGGCGGTAGGTGCTGGCGAAGGCCGAGGCCGAGACCGAGGAGGCGGAGCCCCCGTGCCGTTGCTGGGAGACAGAGGTGCGGGCCCGGGCCATGCCCGTGTTGTCCCCGACGGCCACCTCGCGCCAGTTGTCGGGCACCTGGCCGAAGCCGAAGGGGTGCCGCGCTTGGCCGCGCACGGTGTCCGAGCCGACGCGCCCCGGCAGGGGCAGGGATGGGGCCTGCCGACGCCGGAGGCCCCCCTGGCTGCGCCGCGGAGGGGCCTGGGGAGCGCCCGCCAGCAGCACCCGGGAATTAACCTCGGAGCCCTGAGGCCCCGGCGGCACGTACTCCGCGCCCGAGTTGAGCAGGCTGTACACCTGCCCGTTGTTCTCCCACTGGATCAGCTGCCGCCAGCGTCCCGGGTCCGAGCCCTGCCCTGGCGGCGCCTGCTGCCCGTGCACCAGGACGCAGACGCAGGCGCCCCACACCAGCTGCCAGCCGGTTAGGGCCAGAGCCATGGTGGCCCCTCTGCGGAGGCCCGGTGGACCGAGAGGCTCTCAGGAGTGGCCCCCCGTCAGTGCTTCTCTTCCCACGGCCTCGAGGACAGGACGGCTCCTTGCCCGCCCCAGCTCTAGCTTTGTCCATCCTGGCCTTGTCCCGAGCGGGACGGCTCCTCCGATGACAGCATTTCGAGGCCAAGGGGGTCAGGGCAGGGCAGGGGCGGTGCCCAGGGCTGCACGAGGCTCTCTGCAGGGCACCGGGCAGGCAGGGCCGCCTGGGGGCCTTACATGGCCAGCCCGGCTGTGGCTGGCCGCGCTGGGCTGGCGTTTTCCCACTCTGAATGAATAAGCAACAGGCTGGGAGCTTCGGGAGGTTTTTCGGGCAGCCTGGTCCGCCTGCTGAGGCCTCCTCCGCGGGGCCCTATGGCCCGCCGGGTTTTAGCTATGTGGTCTGTCCCACAGCTGCTGCGCCGGCTCCCTCAGTCCCTGGAGCTCCCAGCCAAGCCGCAGACCTGCCTCTGAGCACGGGAGTGAAATAGGGAGTAGGAAGGAGGCCTCTGGGTATTCAGGCCTGGTGAGTGGGGCCCTGGCAGGCATAACAGGGCTGAGGTGTCAGCACCACTCTGGCCCGTTTCCTTTTGCTTTGGACCCAGCATCCTGGTTTCTTCCACCTTACTGATTTCTTATCTGGGCTTTAATGAACCCCTGACTCCTGTCCACTCCAGCCTCTGCCCAGGACGCCTGGGCTGCTAGTCTCCAAAGCAGTACTGAGACTTCCTCTTTGTCGCTGGGCCTTCTAGGGGGATATGCTGAATCCCACCCTTTTGTGGGGAGAAGCTGAACCACTCTAATATAGGTCATCAGGCGCACCTTCCTGCACTGGGCCTGCGAACAAAGAAGATGGAGCTTCAGCCTTTTCACTCTTGGCACACCCCCGGGCCTTACTCTCCTGGCCTGTAGAATGGAAGTTTGCCTTCCTGCTCAACAGAACTTGTGAAAACATGGGAGAGATCAACTTCCTGCCCATCATGTGTGGTTTCTGTCACACATCTCTGAAGTTGACATGGCCTAGAAATAGCCTGAGTGTGCACCTGGATAAATGAAATTCAGGGGCTGTCTTTGATGTGGGCTAGGAGTCATTGGGAGGCACTATGTGCTATTTGCATGGAGCAGCAGAAAAGAGGATTTGGGAGAATGGGCCTACTCCAGTTGCTGTGGTTAAGTTGCTGGATCAACTTGGGCAAGTCTTTTCTCTGTTTTGATTCACTCACCACATCCGATCAGTGGAGGATTGGACCAGATGGTCTCCAAGAGTGCTTTGGCAGGTTCTCTGTTCTCTCGGCAGAAATAGGAGGGGCCTCAGAAGTTTGAACACTTTGGAGTCTAAGAAATCTCTCTGAATGACTCCTATGGGCTGCCTTCTCCAACCTTGGTCCTGGGAACTGGAGGGCAGTTCATCCAGGAGGAAGAACCTGCCCTTAACTTGGTCTCTCCAGATTCCCCTCCTACTTTGGGAACGCCTGGAGACCACTTTGGGAGGAGACAGCCAGAGTGGACATTCCTCAGAGACCCAGGGCCCCTGCTTCCTCGTCCAGCCTGCATGTGTTCCTCCATCACACTGTGCTTCAAGATGAGGCTTGGTTCTGGTGACTCAGGGCATCCGTCTACCCTCCTAGTCCAGCCAGCAACCGCTCAACACCAGCCCCTCCGCTCCCTCGTGTTTGATCTCCCTCGTTTGATCTCCGTCTCTAGACAGGACTCCCGCAAAGAGGAACCCATTTGGTGCAGGACCACGAGCCAGATGCTGAGGGCCGGGACTGGCAGGGTTAAGCCTTCCCTCCTTCCAGCCTGCCCCCCTGCAGCGCTGGCCTCAGCTGCTTGGAATCCCTGGGGTCCTGTAGGGCCCTCCCGACAGCCAGATGGGCAGCAGCGCCGGGAGAGGAGGAGCGGTGGAAACAGGCCCCAGGGTACCCCTGGGCAGGGAGGGGAAGGGGAGAGAGGAACAGAGGGAGGAGGGAGGATGGCTGTGTGGCGCGGGAGCCCCACTGGCAGAGCAGGGGAGGCAGGACCGTTCTTCTTTAGCCAGGCGGGGGGACAGGGCTGCCTCCGGGCTTTGGAGCTGTGGGGAGTTCAGGGCACAGGCCATTGTGCTCGGCCGGCCTCCGCCTGGGAGCCAGCTCTTGGCGTGAAACCCTACCCAGTGCTGGCTCCTGCTGCTCTTTCTTTTTTCTTAATAAGGTCGAATCAGAGTGAGTCAGAGGAGCCAAGTTTCCTGTTAGGCTCTGTTTGAATAAACTCTGCTCTGAACATAGCTTGGGCCTCTGCACAAGCTCCTGGGGCCAGGATTGTAGCCCTGCCAGCCATCTCTGCTGAGACTGGAGACCTGGGGTCCTGGCCTGGCCCCCAGACGCTCCCCAGGGAAGCCTGTTAAGCTCTCAGAGCTTCAAAGTCTTCAGCTATAACTTGGGAGTAATAATACCTTTCTCGTGGTATATTTGGGAGGATGAAATAAGAGGATTATAAAGAGTACCCAGCACAGTGCCAGGCATGTGGCGGCCACTATTTTTTTCTTTCCTCTGGACTGACGAAAGAAGGGAGGGCTTCATCACCCAGGGTGTTCCCCCTTCCCCGTCTTCTCTGTCCCTTTCATATTTTGCATATTCTGCATCGTCTTCTTGTACCCAGCCCAGGGCACACTCCTAGGGTGGTCCTCTCCTCCTCTCCACTCCCTTCCTTGCCCTCCTTCTCTCTTCCAATCTGGGTCTCCCAAAGTGGCTGATAAGACCCTTTTGGATCTCTGGGCCCAGAGGAGCCTAGCTGGTTCCTCCTCTGCACACACAGGACAAGACCTTGCCTGAGTAGCTGAAGGTGTCCTGACATCCTTTGATTGGAAGCAGCAGAGCCAGGGTCTGAGAGAGACCCCGGGCAGGCAGCAAAGGATGCAGAGCTGGGGTCAAATGAGGGCTTCGAGTCACCAGGCTGGGCCTGAGCTGTCTGGAGGTAAGGGGCGGGTGGCAGGCAGCTCCTCACCAGGCCCTGTTCCTAGGGGCTGGGTTCACACCCACAGTTTTAAGACCTAGCCCTGTGGTTGAGGCTTATTGCCAGTCCCTGGCACTCAGAACCAGGCACAAGTGTTCTTTAGGGCTGCAAGAGCTTTTGGTAATGTGTGACTTTGTTAAGAATCTAATATGTTCTAGACGGGGCTGCTCCTCCCCTGGGCTTCCCATGGGACACAGCCAGTGTCTTTTGATCCTGTACTGGAACTCCAGGCCCTGGGAAATCCGGAGGGAGTGAGGAGGCCTCAGACCCAACCAGCAGAGGGTTTGGGAAGCTGAAAAAGGACAGGAGCCATAGGATGCCTTACTGGTTTGCAGAGGAAAGGACCAGGAGGCCCACTGTGGGTCAGAACATTTCTGTGGTTGGGGGGAAAAGATGAGGCAAACTCCGGGTGTCCCTGCCCTCTGTCCCCCACCTGGAATGGGGCTGGGCCATATCCCCCTGCTGTGATCCCTGGCTGCTGAGCCTAGGCCCCTGGCAAAGGCTATTGATGGGGTTTGTGCGGACCTGGGGGTGGAAGCCCCAGCCCAGCTGGCAGTGAACTGTGCAGGCCCCTGCTGCTGCTTCTAGAAATTGGGCCGAGGAAGTGCTGAGTGAGGAGGCCTGGCAAGCTGGCATAGAATGCGCTGACTCTGCAGCAAGAGGACCACCAAGTGACCACTGCCAGCTGGGCCCTGCGCCCACCCCTCCCCTGCAGCCACATCTGGTGCAATGGTGGGGGAGGCAGGGGGGCTTCGGAGGTCCCCAGAGCCAAGGCAGCCATAGAGGGGCCCGCAGAAGGGGCTGGGGCCCTTTGGTTTGGAAGTGCCTCTCTTCAGGGCTGGAACTCTGGAGAAGCCCGGAAATGGGGGAGGTGAGGTCAGAGCCTTTTGGAAGGACAAATGGGGAGGTGGGGCGCAGGGAAGGGAAGGAACCCACCCTGCTCTAGGACCCAGGGGAATTCAGTGGCTCTGGCCCCCTCCCACTCTGCTTTTCTTCCTAGCTCTCTGGGGCTCCCTCCTCCGTGCTTCCCCTGGGAATTGGAAATACCATCGCGGATACAGGGGTCCGTGGAGTCCCAAAGAGTGAAACGTGACTTTGAGACTAAACAAGGCTAAGGGAAAGCTCTTTTCTCCCTCTGTCTCTCTCTCTGCTTTTGTTTTCCTGCCTTTATATCTTTAACTTCCATTTGGGTCTTTCTGGGTTTCTTTACCTTTTCCCCCCTCCTTTTTTCAGAATATCCCTTTTTTCGCTCATTCATTCATTTCCTCTGTCTCCCTCCATTTCAGTGGCTTGCAATCTCTACTCATTGTTTCTGTTCTTTCGTATCTCCCTTACTCCACCTCACTTATTTCTCTGAATTATTCCTTCATGTGTCCACTCATGCAGTCGCTCAGCATGTTCCCTGGGTGCCTGCTGAATGGAAGCCCTGTGTTGGCTGGGGGATCCCCAAAGAGCCCCACTCTAGTGGGAGTGACACAGATAAACAGATAAGAACAGAGTGGCCAGTCCTGAGTAGAGGTGCATCTTTAGGCTGACTGTGACCTTTGAGTCACCCAATAAATATTAGTTGAATAACTGAATGAATGGTGAATTTCTATATTCTTTGACTATTCTCTGTTGCAATGTTCATCTGCTTAGTATTGATTTATAAGATGTAGTATATTTAGCATCTTTTCGTATATCACTCTTTTTGTCATATAGTGTGCAAGTGATTTTTAAAGTTTGTAATTTACATCTGTAGTTTTTATACTTTCCTGATATATTGAAGTGCTTCAGTTTTAAGCTGTCAAATTATTTGATCTTTCTGTTATGACCTGAGACTTTATTGTTATATGACCTTTGCCTTCAGCAAGAATGCATACATTTTCAATTAAATTTCAAGATTTTATAATTTAATTTCACCTTTATATTTAACTATTTTATTTTTGTATCTGGTGAGAGGTAAGAAAACAACTTTAAAACAAATTAAGCCACTGTCCCAATATGAATGATAAATTAATCCATAAATGAATTCCTAGTGATCTGAAAGGCCATTTTATCATATACTGAATAGTTTTCTGTTTGATGTGCTTTCTATTCTGTACCATTGACTTATCAGATCATTTTTACATTGAGATTACCTTATTTTAATAGTTGTAACTTTTAAATAATGGTTATTAACTGAGAATACAAATCTCATTTATTTCTTTATTGGCCATGGCTTGTAGAATGCAGTATCTTAGTTTCCTGACCAGGGATTGAACCCGTATCCCCTGTAATGGAAGCACAGGTATTTTAACCACTGGACTGCCAAAAATTATTCTTAGTGCTTGTCATTTAGGTGAACTCTAGATTTTTTTTTTCCAAGTTAAATACAAAACAAAATGTCCCCCTGAAAATTGGAATTGGATTACATTTATAGATGAATGTAGTGGTAAATAACTTCTTCGCAACACTGAGTGTTTCCATTCAGGAAGATGGTGTATCTTTCTATTATTAAGGTCTTTTTAAATTGTTGTTCTACAATAAAGTTTTATAGATGAATATATGTGTCTGGTGCATCTTTTATGAAACATGGCAATGACATTTGTAGTTGGCAGCTTCTGAAATGGTTCTCAATGATCCCTGGTAGTCACTCCCTTGTATAATCCCCACCCTTTATGTGTGGATTGGACCTAATGACTTGCTTCTAGTGACTAGAAAGTGGAAACAAGTGATGGGATGTTACTTCTAGATTAGATTGTGAAAAACTGTGACTCTGTCTTGCTGGAGCTCTCTTCCTCTCTCAGGCTCTCTCTCTTGCCTTCTCTGATAAAACCAGCGCTATGTTTCGAGCTGCCGTATGGGAAGCCCATGTGGCAAGGAGCTGAGACCCTCAGCCCAACAGCCATATGAGTGAGCATACCTACTTGAACCTTCAGATGAGACCGCAGCCTTGGCTAACTACTTGATCATAGCTTTGTGAGGGATCCAGAAGCAGAGAACTCAGCTCAGCCACCCACAGATTCCTGGCCCACAGAAACAGTGAGATAATAAATTCTGTTGTTTTTAAACCACTATGCCTTGGGGGTAATTTGTTATGCAGCAATGGATAACTAATGCAGCATCTTTATTTATTTAATTTTTGCTTAATGTTTTCCAATAAGTTGTCAGGAGGTAGAAAAGATATTAACTTTTCTGTAGTTATTTTATAACTGGCTACTTTACTAAACTCTTCTATTCTGATAATTTTGTATTGCTTTTCCTAGTTTTTCTGAGTCCTATTTGCAAATAATTATAATTTACTCTTCTTATTTTTTTCTAATTGAAATAACTAGAATTTTTATAATATTTAGTGTTGAATAACAAGACAGTAGAAATCTTTATTTTGTTCCCATATTTGATGAGAATGCTTTTTGTGATTTGGTGTTGGCTGTGGGTTTGAGAGCTAGTATTTTTTACCAAGTGAAACAAATATACCTCCATCTCTAGTTCACTAGAGTTTTTTAAAAGAAAATCAGTAATGGATATTGAAATTTACCAAATATCTATTCAGCATGTAAAATGATTTTTTTTTTCTCCTTTGACTTATCGCTGTAGTTAATCAGTTTCCTGCAGTTTTGACATAGCATTATCCATGCATTCCAGGAGTGTTTGCTTATGGTGTATTCTTTTCATAGTTCTCGATACTTTCACTGTAAGTATCTTTGCCAAGACATCTTTGCCACAAACATTTACATCACATAACTAGCTGGCTATAAGATAATTTTGCCATAAAAGTTTAAGAGGAACACTAAGAAGGACAGAAACATGAAGAATGAATAATGAAATCTAAAATACTTTATTTTAAAATACAAAATATTTGAATACATTTAAAATATTATAGATTCATAGAAATACTACACAAAGAACTGATTTTATTTTGTAGGTTGGATCAATATGCACCTGTCTTCCAGGTCTTCCATTCATAGTATTTTATGCATTTACTTGTTGAATTGTCTTCTCAGTTGGCATCACTCTTTTTCTTTCAGGCTAAAATTTCTTCCGTCACTAGATGAGCATCTGTTCCCAAATCCTGGGATGTGTATTTATACCTGAGCTCTGCAGTGAGCTGTGAAGGCCTCTACACTGTCACTAGCTCTTGGTGTAATGTCATCTGTCCATTGATTGATTGTCACTCCAGATGTGTGTGGGAAGAGTGGGCTCAACTGTGCCTGGAAGGCCTCTTTCTCCTCCAGTGAAGTGTGTTTCAAAATAAGAAACCAACTCTTGGGGCAAATCATTGTCTTCTGTCAGCTCCATAAAGCCATCAATAACATTGCTAACTGGAAGAAATGCTAACACACTTCAACCAGCGGAAACCAAGCTGTCAAACCCCAAACAGTCAACCAGTTATTTGATCTTTCTCACAAAATTGCCTCACAGCCTTTTAGTTACAGGGCAAAAATGTTTGCAGCAGAAATCGCTTTCGGCAAAGATTTCTGTGGCAAAGATGCTTACGGTGAAAACACTGGACACATTCTTTTAATATGTTGTTGGACTGGGTTTGGACTTTAATCTGAGTAAAGTTTTACTAGGACTTTACATCTCTATGAGAGAGACTAGTGAATGACTCATTCGTTCGTTGTGTTTTCCTTTGTGCCATTGGTCAGATTTTAGTGTTCGGGTTATTCCAGCTTTCTAAAAAGAGCTGGGAAGTGTGTGAGTCAGGGTCCTGGCAAGAAACATTCTCCCCACTGCCAAATGGTTGAAACAGAGTGTCCTTATTTTTATTTTTTTACTTTTAAAATATTTATTTATTTGGCTACCCCAGGTCTTAGTTGTGACACTCGGGATCTTTGACCCTCATTGCAGGATGCGTTAGTTGCAGCTTGTGAGCTCTAGTTCCCCCAACCAGGGGTCAAACCTGGGCCCCCTGCATCGGGAATGCAGTCTGAGCTACTGGACTACCAGAGAAGTCCCTAAATAGCGAGACTTTAATGAAGGGAGTCCCTACAGAAGTGTGGATAAGGTGCAGGGGACAAACGAGGGACAGTGAGGCACCCAGAGACTAGTACTGATGCGGAGACACCAGCAGTCCCAGGGCTGCAGGGACGAGGGAGGCGTCTAGAGCTGGCACCTGGGAGAACAGGTCCAGGCAAGTGCTGATTTGGAGACACTGCTGCTGCCGGAGTGGCTTGTGGGGTCAGCCCCCTGGGGCTTGGGACCAGACAGGCAAGGATGTGGTTTCTGCTGCAGTTTCTGTCTTGTGACCAGACTCTGACGGAGACTAACATAATCCTATGCCTGACAGGGTTTTCATATTTACTTTCACATATATGCAGCAACTTCCCCATACTGATTTTTGTTGTTTACTATGATCTTGCTTATTTTGACTCGTCTCTGCCTGCTAAGATTGCATCGCTGAATATTTTCCCCCATGAAACATTACACATGGCACATGTCCTGAGTTCTGGAGTACAGGAAAGTTTCTTTCTGTTGTCTTCATGCATGAGCTCACCTAGCAGATGGTGGGAATTTTAGGTCACAGCTGCAATCTCGAAAAATTCTGTAGAAGTGTGGTTTCCAAAGTGTGTTCCATACAGCACCCGTCTTTCCACGCAGCCAGTGGAAAACGGTTTCATTGCTAAATAAGCTTGGAAAACTGTGCTCGCTAATATTACTGATTTCACAAATACTTTCCAAGCCCCGAGAAAGCCTCAGTATAGGATCTTGCTGCACTTCATTCTGCGTCTCCCAGGTCAATTTTATGGCAGAAGCTTTTTCCTCCAGCATAACTGGGACACGGGACCCTTTGCGGCAGGGCTACAGTGCTTGCACCTGACACATCTCTCCTCAATCGACACAATATGAAGACACTATGGGACTAAAAATAACTGCATGCATATGCAGTTGGGACAAATTCTGGACCAAAGATACAAAGAGACCAAAAACCCAACCGCCATTTCTGAAGAACCTGGAGCAAAAACTGTGTCAGAAGCAAAAATAGGGTACTGCGCATGCCCACTGCACTCAACATCACCAAAGAAGTGGGTAAACACCTAAGCCACCCCTCTGGCCTGACCCCTGGACACACTCTTACCCTCATTCTGTATAAGGAACAAATTGGCACCCTGCTTTATGGAGCAAGCGAACAAGGGAAACTTGTTTGTTCTTGATCTCTCTTGTTGCCGCAAGGGCCCCAATAAAGCTTTGTCTGAATTTCTTGTCTGGCTTCTAGTCAATTTCTGTTGACTGGGGAAGGCTAAGAACCCTGGTTGGTAACATAGATACTTCTCAACATTCCATGGAATGGAATTTCTCTTCCAATTAAACATGTTTCCAGAATGTTATAGATGTTTCCCCCATTTCCCCGCTCTGTATGGGTGTTTATAAGATTACTCTGTTGTTGTTCAGTTGCTAAGTTGTGTCCAACTCTTTGTGATCCCATGGACTGTAGCCCGCCAGACTCCATGACATTCTCCAGGCAAGAATACTGGAGTTGGTTGCCATTTCCTTCCCTGGGGGATCTTCTTGACCCAGGGATCGAATCTGGGTCAAACCGCATCGCCTGAATTGACAGGCAGATTGTTTACTGCTGAGCCACCAGAGAAGCCTCATAGAGTTATTTCTTTACCCTTAAAATGGACAAAATCCTGCATAGTATTTCTAAGTTTTTTTTTTAAATTAATTTGACATAGAGATCAAAAGGAGCCTTTTTAAGTGTTTGAGCTCAGGCTTCCCATCAGGAGTATCATCTCCTTTTTTGATTCTTGCTTTTGTTTCATTTGCTCAGTTTCTTCTTTGGGCCTCTACCTCTACTGTGGTCTCCCTGTTTGCGTTTATTCCTTTGGGCTTTTCCTCAGCCTTCTCAGAGGACTTAGGTCTGTCTCCGCATTTACAGATTCAGTCTTCTGTAGTTTCGATTCTGTCCATTACCAATATAATGCAATTTTAAATCTACTGCTGCCTTTGTAGTTTCTTTACATCCTTTCTTTCTTTTCTTTCTGTCTCTCTTCTATATGGTTTGCCTGTGACTTCCACCTGCCTCTCGGCCAGCAGCCATCTCATTTCATTCTTCCCATTTGTATTTCAGCTGTCCTTTCTTAGAGTTTGTGTTTTGATTACATGAAGTGCATACAAAGCAGATGTGGTCTGAAAGTTATTTGTGTATCTGCGATAAATCATCTTCAAAGGAATGGTTTTTCTCTGCCCTTTGAAGGACTTGTTCTTTCCCTTCATGATACAGAATCTTTCAAAGACTCTGTGTGTTTGCAAGTGTTTGTGTGTGCATGTGGGTGTGTGTTTGCTTTTACTCCTCCTTAAAAAAATAAGTGTTTTGTTAAATCTTATTATTTTCCCCCAAACAAGAGGGAAAGAATTGGATTCTTTTCAGCTCACCATTCACCTGGGTATTTTTTCCAGGTCCTGTCATCTTTTAGGTTGAAGGACTGGTTAATGCCAACTCATGTCACCAATTGGCTGTGAACACAAATTATCTTTGTCATTATGTGCCCCCACTCATCTCCAGAGTTGACTTGCAGGTCTCACTGGCTTTAGGGCTTGTATGTGTGTGTGTGTATCTGTGTGTTTGTCCTGTTCTTTCTCTACTCAAGTAGAGCCTTCCAAAGGCTATTACCAGCTCAGGGATCTAGTTGGAGGAAGGAGTGGGAATTGGCTGTGACCCAGTGGGGACTCTTCTGTCTGCATCAGGGGCCAGCGATATGCCAGGCTCCTCCACTAGATAATGGATGCAGCCATGATAAGACTTGAGCTCACCCTGTCAAGGAAGAAGAAACGTGGTATCAGGGAGAAACCGATGCAGGGAGAAGCTCCCTCCCAGTTATACACATGGCCTGGCAACCACAGGCACCCCAAAGCTTCCAGTCAGCTCTTCCCAAATGCTATTGATCCAGAGCCTCAAAAGAGCTTCTAAATGACATATTCTCGGCAAGCCCCACATCTCACCACCTGCTCTCCAATTCAGGGGCAGTTGACAAACACTGCCAGGATCTCATCTACTTATTTCTCTTGAAGGGAGTTTACTTTTCTCAGAAATTGGTGTTGTGAACAGCCCTTGGGGGGTCTCCCTTCAATCCCGATGCTGCGTATTTTCCACAGATCCCCAGCATTCCTGCCATGGGAATGTGCTTCCCCTGGCTTCCAGGCTGACTCAGGGCTTGCCCTTATTTATTTATTTATTTTTAATAAAAAAAATTTTCAGGGGACTTCCCTGGTGGTCCAGCGGTTAAGAATCTGCCTTCCAGACGGTATGGAGATTCCTTTAAAACCAGGAATAAAACCACTATACGATCCAGCAATCCCACTCCTAGGCATATTCCCTGAGGAAATAAAAATTGAAAAAGACACCTGTACCCCAGTGTTCATTACAGCACTCTTTACAATAGCTAGAACATGGAAGCAACCTAGATGTCCATTGACAGATGCATGGATAAAGAAGTTGTGGTACATATACACAATGGAATACTACTCAGCCATAAAAAGGAACATGTTAGAGTCAGTTCTAATGAGGTGGATGAAACTAGAGCCTATTATACAGAGTGAAGTTAAGTCAGAAAGAGAAAGATAAAAATTGTATATTAATGCATATATATGGAATCTAGAAAGCTGGTACTGAAGAATTTATTTGCAGGGAGAGAAACAGCCATAGAGAACAGACGTATGGACACAGGGAGAGGGGAGGAGAGGGTGAGATGTGTGGAGAGACTAACACTGAAACTGGCATCACCATGTGTAAAATAGATGGCCAACAGGAATTTGCTGTGTGTCTCAGGGAACTCAGACAGGGGCTCTGGATCAACCTAGAGGGGTGGGGTGGGGAGGGTGATGGGAGGAGGTTCAAGAGGAAGGGGATATATGTGCACCTACAGCTGATTCAGGGCTTCCCTTGTCGCTCAGCTGGTAAAGAGTCTGCCTGCAATGCAGGAGACCTGGGTTCGATCCCTGGGTCAGGAAGATCCCCTGGAGAAGGAAATGGCAACCCACGCCAGTATTCTTGCCTGAGAATCCCATGGACAGAGGAGCCTGGCAGGCTACAGTCCATGGGTTCACAAGAGTCAGACACAACTTAGCGACTAAACTGCCACCATAGCTAATTCATGTTGAGGTTTGACAGAAAACAACAACATTCTATAAAGCAATTATCCTTCAATTAAAAAATGAATAAATTAAAAAAAGCTTCCTTCCAGTGCAGGGGACACGGGTTCGATCCTTGCTAAGGGAACTGAAATCTCACACACAGTGGGGCAGCTCAGCCCACACACCACAAGTAGAGAGAGGCCCAGGCATTCAAGGAGGGATCCCCCAGGCCACAGCTGAGACCCCACGCAACCAAAAATAGATAAATACCATATTGACCCAGAGGGAGGGGACGGGGACGGAGGTGGGAGGGGGGTTCAGGATGGGGAACACATGTACACCCATGGAGGATTCAAGTCAATGTATGGCAAAACCAATAACAATATTGTGAAGTAAAATAATAAATAAAAAAAAGGCAAAAAAACCTTTTTTAATATGTTTACTTGTTGAGTTTTCTCTTCTATATCCTTTTGATCAGCTGGGCTCTGGGAGGAAGGAGAGCCCTGCACCAGCATACCTGGGTGCTGTGTGGGACTCGTCCTGTCCTGGATGCAGCTGAGACCCAAAACTGCATATGAAAGACACCAGGAACCCATGCCCGTACATTCACAGAGCCTCCAGTGAGCGGCCAGGAGCTCACAGCATCTCCCCTCTGCAGGGCTGGCACGGGGGCTGGACTGGCTCTTCTCTCATCAGCACCACGGCTGCCCACAGTGACTGGGAGAGGAGCTGGCACAGGGGCGAGTCATTGGCCACGTGGGGAGCACAGCGCAGGTGGCAGAGGGTCCGCCCTTCCCTCTCATGGGGGAGATGGGGACGGGCGCTTTCCCTCCCCAGGGCCACAGGATCTCTTGTGAGGTGAGACCAGCATGTCAGCCCCCACGTGGGTGTCTGCTTTGTCTGTGGGCTCTGTGATGAACCTCCGGGCCGCCTGGGAGGGGAAGGGGCAATGAGAGGCAGATGGCGGGTGGGGAGAGCGCAGAGGGAGGCAGCGGGGCTCACGCTGAGTGCTGCTGCTGCTGCCTCGCCCCAGGGCTGCTCCCAGGCTGCAAGGAATGCACAGGCCTTCCTAGGGACTCGGCTGTCTGCGAACAGAGGATGGGTCGAGTAGCCAGAAAGGCAGTGACAATCCAGCCAGGAGAGGACAGGCTTGTGAGACTTGCTTCCACACCCCTCTCCTGGCCCCCCAGTCTCAGAGATCCCCGGAAGAGGGAGGAGGAGGATGGGTGTAGGGCCAGATTCCCCTTCACCCTGGGCCATGCAGCTGGGGTCTCACCTCTGCTGGAGGAGGAGAAGAGGTCTGAGTGTTGACTGCAGAAACGAGACTGTTCCAACAGACGAACACGGCCTGGGAGCAGGGCAGTGCAGCCAAGATGCCATTCAGAGCGCTGCCACCCAGTGGACATGGGCTTTCAGCAGGACACAGCTGTGTGGGGGGCAGGGGG